CGCCGGGAGGCCTGGTAGACGAGGGTGGAGTGGACCCCCAGTGCGGGAGGGTCCTGTTGGCTGTTTCACAGTGAACGGACCAAAGGCCGAGGAAAGAACGAGGCCCGAGGGTTCTGTGGAGCCAGGCCCGGGGAACAAAGGGCAAAGCGCAGGAAAACAACCAGGCCCCAGGATCGTTCCGGGATGGAGTGACTTGAAAGGCTAGCGCGTTGAAGAACGACCGTCTTGTTATCAGATTCCCCAGGTATCGACCTGTGGTTTAGGGAAAGACTGATTTTACTCGTGTAGAAGTGCAGACTTGCAGTTCAGTGATGCGGAAGCAGCAGATTTACAAGTCTATGCCTCCTTGATCATTGGATTACGTGCGGGGCGCGTGCACACACACACACACACACACACACACACCTCTTGTGATGATGGATTTGAAAACAGTGGTTTCTGCTGAATGACATCCTGCTTTAGTGGCTGGCGGGGTGATGGGGATGGTGTAAGATCTAAATGCTTCTCTCCCCAGTAGCTTGTAAACATTGGAAGCTGGTTGAGTAACGATGCTTTTTCTTGGTCCCTGCGTTTTGCAGTGGTCTTTTCCCATCTGCTCTAAAATGGTACAGCTCACTGTACTCTACATTAAAATCGCACTTAATCCCAGATCTTACCAGCCCTGCTTGGTTGCAGAATGGACAGAAGGTTTACTTACCTTGCTTGAATTGCTTTTCCAAGGCTACAAAGTGAAGCTGTAAGACGTTTGAGGGGTTCTCCCCCTGTCTTCGTTGCAATTTCTTTGAACAGTCTTCTCTGGAGAAATGGAAGAAAATTTTATTCACATTAAAGGACCTTTTACCTTAGCGATATTGGGAAGCCTGTACTGCATTTCCTGACTATATGAATGTGTGTGTATGGCTGTGATCAGGGGTTTAAAATTTGAAACCCACATCATGTTTTCCTCAAGATGAAATTACTTTAATCTGTTAGAGCTCGACACTATATTAGAGGGGAATGTTGTTAATGACAATTTTAGAGATTTAAGATAGCCAGTATTTTGGTAGACTTAATTCTGATTTACATAAGGAATACAGTGGAAATATCCAGTTAAGCTCTTCCTCAAACATTATTTTGTCTCCAACCCAAAGAAAGGAAATCTTCGTGATCATCTAGAAAACAAACCCCCTTTTAGAAGGCCTTACTTGTTGCTTGATACATGGACTAAAGAAGGTAGTCCCCAGCCTTTTGGGACCCTAGATTTTGAATGTGAGATTTAGATAGACACGTTCTGCAGTGACTGTTACAGACCCTTCTCGGTCTTACTTTCCTGATGACCGTTCTCTTTGTTCTTCACGAGCTATATCTGTCCCTGGCAGTTTAGCACTCTGCAAATACCTGTGGAAGGAACGAAGGGTGTCCTCAGCAACAGTAATTTTCCCCAAGGGCTCAAAACGTAATCTTCATTTTTGTGAAGCTGTGTGGGCCATAACGACTTTTTGTATGCTAAAAGTACATCTTTAATGAAGTATCATTAAAGTATTTCCATAAAGAAATGAAAACTCAGAGTGTTCTTAGAATTCCTAGAAAGTAGAAATAAATCTTAGTAACATTCAGAAGAAGGTGAGTGTGTAGAGGTTTGTTTTGGTTCCCTAGGAAGAGGGAAGGCAGAGCCCCCCCCCCCCCCCCCCCCCCGGACCCAGCCTGTGTCCCAGCCTTTATGCATATTGAGGACAGCGCAGTAATGCCCGAACTTCGTTTGTTCAGTAAATATTTCATCACTGTTGGTGAATAATCCCATAGTTCTGACTTTATGAATATGTCTTTCTAGAGGGGGGGAGGGGTAGACACTAAATATTTATTGGATTCCTTCCACGGAAAGGTCAGGAACGGGGATATTTTAAGAGGACAGGCAGACGGTAGACGGGACAAAAGGAAGGCATTGGCCAGTATTTAGAGAGCAGAGTAGCAGCAGGAAGCCCAGGGTACGGCGCACACCACGGAGAGCGTGGTGCCCAGTGCAGATTCGTGCAGGGGTGTGAGCGCTGGCCTGCGCTTCCGGGAAGTCAGCCGCCCGGCGGGGATCTCTCGGAGGGCGCCGCACACGCACTGGCCAGCCTGTCTGACAGACCAGACCACCAGAAGTTTGGCGAGGCATTTGGAACCTGTCTTCCGAGTCTCGTTCAGAACCGTCCTCGGTTCCCCGAGAGGCAGGAATGGCACAGGGAGGGCTGATGATGTTTCATTGGCTCTGCTCCTTCAGCCGCTCGCTTTTGGAACAGGCCTCACGTTCTCCCATCAGCCACAGAAGATTTAAAATTCTTCTTCATTTTTCCTGTGTACTGTACCAGAGTTTTAGTCAAACTTCCAAAATTATGAACGTGAATAATTATGTGAAACATAAGTGGTTTTGTTTATAGTTTGTTTTTTTCTCTCTCTGGAAAGGCTACTGTCTAATCTAGAAAATTGATGAAAATTGGGTAGAGCTCCTTCCTTTATTTTTTTTCTCTTTCCTTTTAAAAATGAATTGCTAATACTCATTTGGTATATTACATGCTAGGTACAGTTCTGGGCAATTTTCATGCTTTTTTCTAATGCTCACCTCATAATCCCCTAAGAGGTAGAAGTTCTCACTCTACCATTTTTTAAAGTTTATTTTTATTTTTAATTTATTTTGAGAGAGAGAGAATGCCCGAGTGTGCACGTGAGGGCGGGAGGAGGGGCAGAGAGAGAGAGAATCCCAAGCAGGCTCCGCGCCATCAGCGTGGAGCCCGACGTGGGGTTCGATCTCACAACTGTGAGATCATGACCTGAGCCAAAAATCAAGAGCTGGACACTTAACTGACTGAGCCACCCAGATGCCCATGTTCTACTCATTTTTATTTAAAAAAAAAAAAAAAAAAATTTTTTTTTTTTTTTACATTTATCTATTTTTGAGAAACAGAGTGAGACAGAGCATGAGCGGGGGAGGGGCAGAGAGAGAAGGAGACACAGAATCCGAGGCAGGCTCCAGGCTCCGGGCAGGCAGTCAGCACAGAGCCCGACGCGGGGCTCAAACCCACAGACTGTGAGATCATGAACTGAGCCGAAGTCGGACGCTCAACTGACTGAGCCACCCAGGTGCCCCTCTACTCATTTTTAAAGATGACAAAATTAAGGCCCAGAGAAGATGAGTAGCTCGTCTGAGTTCATATACTTAGTAAGTAACAGACCTAGTGTTTGAATCTGATTGTCTAGCTCCAGAGTCCACGGTCTTTTGTCTCTTTACAATTACCCCAGATATATATATAATTACCTCTGAAGAAATGTTGTTAGTCTCCCATAAGCTTTTTATTAAGAATTTATGACCTGATCAACTTGAATTGACTTCAGATTATCACTAAAATATGTGCTTTTTAAAGAATTAAATAGGCCTGCAATTTTCTTCTATTATTCAGTCCTGATCCATGTTGTTAACCTCATATTCTAGATTCTTGTTATATTATAGAGCTTGACAGGTATCTGCTTGTTCTAGATATTGGGCAAAATTTGAAAACCTAACTTTGTTTTCATCTTTTTAGATTTCTGAAAGAAGTCTAGATTAGATGGGTTTTTTTTTTTTTTTTAAGTTTATTTTGAGAGAGAACGAGCATGTGTAGTGTGAGTGGAAGCAGGGGAGAGGCAGAGAGGGGGGGAGAGAGAGAATCTTGCTTTCAGCATAGAGCCCGAGGCGGGGCTTGATCCCATGACTCTGGGATCATGACCTGAGCCGAAATCAAGGGTTGTACTCTTAACTGACTGAGTCACCCAGGCGACCCTGGACAGTTTTCAAACATTTCCAAATTATGGTATTTTATTTTAGGATTTATTTAGTATGGTATTTATAGTATAGTATACTATTTTATTTTTTAAAGTCTAATGATGAATGTTACGAAGGTATAAAAGTTAATATCTAGCATTCATATTCATATTCATGACACTGGGACCGGAACCTACGGAGCGTGGGATCGTTACCTGGGCCGACGTCAGATGCTCAACCGACTGAGCCGCCCAGGCACCCCTAGCCAAAACGGATTCTTGTGCCAGGGAACTAGATATGTAAAGGAAAGTCACATTTCCAGTGAGAATTCTGGAGTGACAGCCACAGGTGGGAGGCGGGAGGTTATGCAAGAGGATCCTTCTGCCTGCTCCTTCACTCCGTTGTCTGCAAGTGGAAGAGGACTGGGGTCACGTGAACTAGGAAAGGCGTGTCTTTGCAAGATAGAGAGGGGGAGCGGTGTCAGGCGCTGCCTGGGGTTGGAAAGGACGTGGAGTGGGAAAAGTTGATCACCTTTGGTGAGAGAGAAGTCTGGTCCTAAGAGGAATGTGTAGATAAACCAGTCTCTTCATTCGTGTGTACTGAGCAGTTAGTATACTGTTACAGAGTTTCATTACAAAGCTCGTATAGTTTAGGTACTTCAGATTTTTTTAGTGAAATGACTACAGTAGCAAGACTTCAGAAATGCTACCAGGAGATAACATAATGCAGTAGGTCTTTGAGCTGCTCTGGGGAGAAGGGGACGAGAGTGAGTGGGAATCATGTTGCCTGGTCGGAGTCTTGGCTTTACCGCCTACTGGTTTAGTGTGGTGAGCACCTTTACACTTGACCTTTCTATGCCTCAGTTTCCTTATCCATAAAATGAGGTGACTATACTTCCTGCCCCATAAGCTTAAATGAGAGAATTAAAAAAATATAAGATTAAAAAAAATAATGAGCACGAGGAATGTGTTTACCTCTGTGCCAGGTCGGATGTTCAGTAAATGTTACTGTTCTTAACGTTGTTCCTGTTCTTGCCAAAATGTTCTCTGCCTTGCCTGCCTCCCTTTCCCCGAACAGCTGGACCTGGGGTGGGGGGATGTGAATTGTGCTGATGAGCATGCCCGTTCCATGATTCTTCTGTCAGGACAAATGGCAGGGCTTCTCTTTCATTGATTTGCTTCCAGATCTGCTATTTGGCACACTTACCTGACTAAAATTGTTGTTGTTGTTGTTGTTGTTTTAGCTACATGAAAGTGGTTATGACGCTGGCAAAGCCCTGCAGCGCCTGGTCAAGAAGCCCGTGCCCAAGCTGATCGAGAAGTGCTGGACCGAGGACGAAGTGGTGAGCTCCGACGGGACTGGCCCTGCGGTCTGGGTCACGGGGGTGTCTGCTTCTCAGTGCGTGACCTCCCTGCTCCTCCGGGGACTGTCCGTGGTACCCAGCAGTCAAAGGAAGGAGACTTTAAACCTGAAAGTTGCATGGAAAGACTTGCTTTTTAGGAAGCTCTGTGGGAAGGATGTTCTCCGGTTTCATGGAAAGACAGAAGAATCTGTAGGGTTGGTTGGCTGGTTTCAGCAAGTCAGCGTTTGATACCTATTTTAAGACATAAGCATTTTTTAATGCTTATTTTTTATTTTTGAGAGAGAAAGCATGAGCAGGGGAGGGGCAGAGAAAGGAGGACAGAGGATCTGAAGCCGGCTCGGCGCTGTCGGCACAGAGCCTGACCTGGGGCTCAAACTCACGAACCGTGAGATCACGACCTGAGCCGAGTCAGACGTTCAACCGACTGAGCCGCCCACATGCCCCTTAAGACATAAGTGTTAAAACCATTTGCTGCGTAACCTAGAGCGGGGCTGTTGCCTTGTTTTTATTTGGAGAGCCAGCAGGATCCCTAACCTGCTGAAGGACGTTAGTCAAGAGCAGGTAGCATAGACCCGATTATATAAATGTAGTGGATCTTACATATTCGTCCTGTCATCGTGGCTCAGCAAAGAAGGTAGGGAGATAAGATAGGTGCCCACAAACACAGATTGAAAACCCACGGATTCCTGTCCCAGCCGACTGAGTTCCCATGGAGCTACATCCCCATCTTGTGACTTCTGGAAGGCGTTGCTGTCAGAGACTTACAGACTGCTTGTGCTCTTGCAGATACGGTCTCGTGTTTGCGTGTTACAGCTTGACGTTTGCCCTTTAAGGTTGAAAGAAACGAAGATGGCCGCTGTCACTGGTAGACCTGTCGATTTTAAGTCCCTCGCCTGTGTTCTAAATCTGCTAAGAAAGCGTGCTTAGAAGCTCTTGGTGCTTTCCTGATCTCGCTCTTTTGTTTATTTCGGCAATATTTATCGAGTACTTGTTGTGTGCCGGGTGCTGTGCTAGGAGCCGTATCAAGAACAAAGGTCCCTCCTCACGAGGCTTGTGTTTGTTTTCAGAGGAGAGACCGTCTGTAAATCAATATTTGTTAAGTGGCGGTACACACACGTGCTGGGGAAGACGGAGTAGGCAAGGTAGGATGGGGAGTAAGCTGGGTGAGGGGCTGTGTGGCAGAAGGGGCTGAGGAAAGGCCTGGTAAGAACCATTTGAGCAGAGGTGAGCCTTTTGGATCGGGGCCCTACGGTGAAAGCGTGGCCGGGAGAGAGAACTCCGGGCCCCGGGCGCGTTCAGGACGGAGGCAGGCATGTGTCTGCGGGGAAGGGATAGTGCGGGGATCGGGCGCGGCCTGCGGACCCACGGTCGGTGCCTCGCTCTTCACTCTGCGTGGGCAGATTCTGAGCAGAGGGTACCATCATCTGCTGGCGGGCACCCTCTGGCCACTGAGTCGCAGGTGGGCTTCCGGGGCAATGGCGAGCATCCGGGCCCGAGACCGGTGAGCGGACAGCATGGTGGCAGTGCCGGTGGGAAATGGCGAGACCCTGGGGGCACATTGGAGCAAGAGCCAAGGCGATTGTTCGAGGAAAGGCCACGTGGGGGTTGGGCAGTCGGGGGCAAAGTAGGAGACGAGAAGGTAGCAGGGGCGGACTGAAGCGGCCCCTGAAGGCTTGGTCGGGAGAGAGCTTTTTCATAGCCCGTTAACACTTGCAGCTTATCAGACGCATGATGAGGTTGGTGCTGCTGTTTAGAAATTAAAAGTTTCAAACCTTTACACGATCAGTGAAGAGTTGGGGGCATCTTAAACATCTGTTCCTGTTCAGACACTGGCAGAGTACACACGTCACATTCGTTTGTTTTGTAAAGTCCCGTGGATGTGGTTTTCACTGTGGACCCATTTCTGTGACAAGGAGATGCGACTTGTGACTGATGAAATTTTAAAGTTCCTCAGGAAGTCTTGGTGCCAGAAAGATGTGAGGAGGTGAAAGGATGGAAGGAATGTGTGAAATGCCACCAACCCAGAGACCCCATCAGCGCCCACGTGCCCCGATGCCCTTCTTGTTCCTTCCTTTGCGCTGACGCCCCGGGGCTCCTCAGCGGCCGGGCGGCCAGGCACTCTCCCTTCCTGTCTCCCAGACCTCTCATTCGCTCTGGAATTTGAAGACTCCCACTTAAAAGAAAGCTGCTTTCCTTTTCCTGCTGCACTCGCTTCTCTTGGGCACAATGTGAACCGTGTCCCTGCTGTCGGCAGCCGGTGGGAGGGAAAGGGGAGTGTTACACATCAGAAAACGCTCGGCTTTATTTTAAAAAGTGAAGCACGACTCTAGGCGGACATGATAATGATCCGTAACTGCATAAGTCCTTGTCATTGGGCTCATTTCTATCACGTTTGCTTCTTGTTTCGGTGTAGGTTTTGAGAAATATGTTGGCAGGCCTCCAGCCCTTGCAGAACTCAGAGATCAAATGGCCATCCCCTTATTTATAGGAAGTTAAGCTTCATTTTCTAAAACCTCAAAAGTGAATGGGAAAGAGGGATTGAATAATTGATAGGCTGAAGGGAGCCTCTCAGATCTTGGACCAGCTTGACGTGGCAGCGAGGCACCATCACTAGTGAGCCCCTGCCTTGGCCTGGTTTTGGCTGCGAGAGCATCACCCTCTGTGTGTGTGGCCTCTTCCCTGGAAGTCCCCTCATTTCCCACCCCAGCACTCAACAGGAGTAAGCAAAGCGTGTCCCAACTAAAGTAAGTACGTGGGCCTACCTCTCTTCTTTTCCCCCCCCCAAGTTTTCTGTGTACCTGGACGTCTTAGTTATTTTTTAGTTTATTTATTTTGGAGGGGAAGGGCAGAGAGAGATGGGGAGAGAGAATCCCAAGCAGGCTCCACACTGTCACCACAGAGCCCCAACGCGGGGCTCAAACCCACAAACAGTGAGATCGTGACCAGAGCCAGACGCTCATCTGACTGAGCCCCCCAGGCGCCCTGACATTTTAGTTATTTTTAAGCATCATCGCCTCCAGTATATCCATTTGATCTAACTGCAGCAGCGTCGATGAAGTTGTTTTCCTTTGCATTTATATGAACTGGACACTCCGTGTGCAAGTGTTGGTGGAATGAGCACCTGACAGTGCGAACCCCTGGCCGGGCTGGGAACACGCGGCCCCTGTGCGTCCTGGCTCCTGCGGGTGCGTGCTCCCTGATCAGACAGATCTCTCCCCATCTCGCCAGTGCACACCCTCACTGCTTTTCACCGCTCTTTGAGGTTCAGGGCGGTTCCCGGGCCCAGCCCGCTGTGATCGCGCCCTCTTCTGAGCTGTTTCCCCAGTTTGCAGCGTTTGTTAGCAGCCTGCCCCTGGCTTTTTCCTGCCCCTTCCTCCGCTCCTCCTCACAGGCTTTACTTCTGAGTTGATTGCCCTCCTAGTTCATAAACTTAAGAGCAGGGACTTAACTGATGGGGTCTGGTAGAGACTACTGTCTCTAAGAGGGGCTTGAAGAATATTAACAACTCTTTATTCAAGATTATTGTTTGTAAAGATTTTTTTTTTTAATTTTTAAAAAATGTTTATTTTTGGGACACCACCTGGGTGGCTCAGTCAGTAAGCGTCTGACTTCGGCTCAGGTCATGATCTCACGGTTCGTGGGTTCGAGCCCCACATCAGGCTCTGTGCTGACAGCTCAGAGCCTGGAGCCTGCTTGGGATTCTGTGTCTCTCCTCTCTGTGCCCTTCCTCCACTCATGCTCTGTCTCTCAAAAGTGAATAAAGATTTAAAAAAAAATTTTTTTAATGTTTATTTTTGAGCGAGAGAGAGAGCGCGCACATCTTCCGGGGAGGGACTGGGGTGGGGGGCAGGGGTGGACAAAGAATCTGAAGCAGGCTCCGCCCTGACAGCTGAGAGCCCGACATGAGGCTCAATCCCACGAACTGCAAGATCATGACCTGAGCCAAAGTCAGACACTGAACCCACTGAGCCACCCAAGATTCTTTAATTAAGATCGTTCTGGGGCTTCAGCTCAGGTCATGATCTTGAGGTTCGAAAGTTCGAGCCCCGCGTTGAGCTCTGTGCTGACAGCTCGGAGCCTGGAGCCTGCTTCCGATTCTGTGTCTCCCTCTCTCCTGCCTCTCTCCCACTTGCACTCTGTCTCTCTCTCTCAAAAGTAAATATTTAAAAAAGTAAATATTAAAAAAAAAAATTTTTTTTAAAGTAAGTATAAAAAATATATAAAAAAAAAGATTACCTTCACTCTAACATTTTAAAACTTGTAATAGTTAATAATTATGCACCAGAGAAAAACTTTTACATGCGCTCAAAGCTGACCTTAAAAGTTTTACCTTTGGAAAAAATTTCCCATATTCTTTGTGATAACACCACCCAGTTTCTTCGTCCTAGGTCTGTCAGATATTAACTAATTGTTGAGATTTTAGGCCTCAAAATTACACAGTGAGAGGCTTTTCATTTTACATTTTCTCTCAGTGATTCCTTTGACCGCTTGTGTATCTATTGGTACGGTGTTTCTTTTTTATATGTTATTATTTTTTTAAATGTTTATTTAGTTTTGAGCGACAGAGCGTGAGCAGGGGAGGGACAGAGAGACAGGGAGACACAGAATCTGAAGCAGGCTCCAGGCTCCGAGCTGTCAGCACAGAGCCTGACATGGGGCTCAAACCTAGGAGCTGTGAGATCATGACCTGAGTCAAAATTGGACGCTTAACCAACTGAGCCACCCAGGCGCGTGCCCCTATAGATATGGTATTTCTTACTGAAGTTTCTTTGGGGGCTGAAATACTTTAAATCTTGGGGAATGGATACCAGATTTGGGCCAATTTCTGTCAAATTCTAGGCCAGAAAGTGACAGTTGAGCTCTGCTTTAGTGGAATGAGTGAGAAGCTCCTTGGTAGCTAGCTCAAGGCAGTCTCTCAGGCTAAATAAACTGGGTCAGATCAGAGAGGCAGTTTCAAAGAAATGCTAGGTCAGTTGGAT